CCACACCTGGACCCCAGCCCCAACATCAAGGCTCCAGCTGCATGTCCAGCACCCCTCCATCCCACAAAAAGCCCCACCTGCACCTCCCCAGCCCTGCCCAAGCCCCTGCACCCACTCACACTTCTGCCTGGTGACGTTGTGGAGGCTCTCGATGCCCTTAGTACTGCAGTGGCCAGGGGCCGTGCAGTTCAGGGAGGACCCAAGCCCCATGGCCTCCATCCCACAAAAAGCCCCACCTGCACCTCCCCAGCCCTGCCCAAGCCCCTGCACCCACTCACACTTCTGCCTGGTGACGTTGTGGAGGCTCTCGATGCCCTTAGTACTGCAGTGGCCAGGGGCCGTGCAGTTCAGGGAGGACCCAAGCCCCATGGCGGCTGTCTGCAGGGAGACGGTGGGCTGCAGCTGGCTCCACAGCATCCTCAGCCAGTCCCTGTCCATCACCCACCCTCTGTAGGATCGTTTGGTGGCCCAAGCAGGGCCATGGGCCCCTCACCTGTGGGGGCGCAGGGCCACACCAGACACGGATGAGGCTCCGGTTGCGCAGGCTCTCATCCCCTGTGGCGATGCCCGTGATCACCGACTTGTCCAGCTGCAACAACACGCACAATGGAGAGGGCCCTTGGAGGCTGACTGCACTCTTGGCTCGGGGACATCTTTGCTGGAATCGGGGACACCACTGCCAGCCTGAGGACACTTGGACACGACCACCATCAAAGGGACACCAGCGCTGGGGACATCACCACCAGCACAGGGACAGCAATGCTGGGGGACCACCACCAGCCTGGGGACACTGCTGCCAGCCTAGAGACACTGGGGCATGACCACCATCAAAGGGACACCAGAGCTGGGGACATCACCACCAGCATGGGGGACAGCAATGCTGGGGAACCACCACCAGCCTGGGGACAGCGTGGCTGAGGAGACCTGGATGATGAGCTTAGTGAAGGGCTCCGTGATGATCTTCAGCAGGTCAGGGGCATCCTTCCCACTGCGGATGTTGAAGGTGGCTACAACCAGGCGGGTGACGTGGTGCAGGTACCCGCTCACCCAGCCTGCATGAGGGCCACGATGGTGTTGGTGACAGAGGTGCCGATGTTGGAGCCCATAATGATGGGGATGGCCGAGCGCACCTCCAGCACTGGGGACAGAAAGACCCTCTAGCCCTGCATCTCCCAGCTCGGGGTGACCCTGTCCAGCCACCCCATCCCCCAGCCTCAGGTCCCAGATCTCCCCACTGGCGCACTCACGCCCCGAGGAGACCATGCTGACGATGATGGAGGTGGAGGTGGAGGAGCTCTGCACCAGCACTGTCACCAGGATGCCCACCACCAACCCAGCCACTGGGTTGGAGAGGATGGCATTGTCCTTGAAGATGTCCCCGGCCACCTTGCCTATGAGAGAGCGTGAGCGGCAGGGTACCAGCGTGGTGGGTGCCACCAGCCACCTTGGTGCCCCTGCCACCCTACCTCCGGCCAGCTGGAAGGCAGAGCTGAGCACGTCCAGAGAGCACACGAAGAGGTACAGGAACCCGAACATCAGAGGCACCTTGAGAAGGGAGACACAGATGGACTGGACCCTGGCCCAGCACCCCAGCTCTGCGCAAGACAAGAGAGAGTGTTAAACGCCGGCTGCGACCTGGCCCTGGCTCCCCGAGCTCCCGCAGCCCCGCGCCAGCCTTCTGAGCCCCTGGTGGGATGGGGCTTGTGTGTCCCCAGCTGTGCCACCACTCCCTAGGTCCCCTCCACATCCTCCCACCCTGAAGCACCTCGTACCAACTGCCCCAGTCGCCCCTCGGCTCTGCCCCTGGGACCCCGGGGAGCTGAGGGTCTCCCCTGCTGGCAGGCAGCCCACCACACTGGGGGTCCGGCCAAGGTGCCAGCGCGAGGACTGGCACAGCGGGGCAGTGGGGGGGAATTGCTGCCAGTCCTGCCGGCAAAGCC